AGAGCCAACACAAAAGAAAATTAAGGATACTTCAACAGCTAAAATGGGATCTCTGCAAGGGTTAAAATTTGGCCCTGGATTCTTTGCACCTGGATTCCATTTAGCTAAGTAACTATTTAACAATATTATTTCACACACTTTTATTATCTAGATTTCTACATTTGTCTCCCCATAGCCCAGTTATCCACCATCGAGCTATGAATGCAACAAACAGCTGCAAAATAACAGTATTCTTGCTGTCTGCAGAGATGGATTTTTGGGGCGGGGCGGGGCAGGGGGGGAGAAAAAATTGATACAAAATCAAGGACCTCAGAAATGCTAACAATTCCTCAGAATCATAAAGCCATCTTTAGGATTCACAGATGTCCTTTTCACACAGTTAAGTTATGAATATTTAGAAATATGTACTTTATCATTTAATTCACCTTTAGTAAATATTTCTGAAAAATTACAAGGCCCACACTAGCCTCGCTCTTTTGTTCAGAATAAGGCTGGTCAGTTTCTTTTACACCACCCTGCCTTGTTTGAAGATCCACTAATAACTTCTATGGGATGATTCTGGCTGTAAAAACCACAAAAAAAATCAGACAGAAGAATAACGAAGGGTAATAGCCTCTTTCATACTGCAAGGATTTGCGTTCTCACCCTGTATTCCACGACAGCTTAACAGCTGAAGCATCTGTCGTAACTTTGATTTCTTTGCTTTTTACCAGTTTGTTTTACAGTCGTTTGATGTTACAAAAAGGTATTTCTGTTTATGGGTAGATACGGTGCGCCACCTTGTGTTCAAACTCTTATTAAAAACCAAAATCCGCCCTAAAATTTTTCAGAAACGCTCCTGAAATTTCGTTATCTCGTGTTTGAAAATATGTGTCGTTTTCAGTATAAACTAATACTGTAACAATTTGGGCAACAACAACAAAAAATTTGCGTTCAGACAACAGAATTAACGTTTAATTGTCAGATATTTGAAAGTTGTGCACAATAACAGACACAAACACTGGGCTTTCATTTACTGACCTTCACTTCAAGACTACCTCACGGTATGATACAGCACTTCAAGGCTCTAAATCTAACAAATTTAGTGTAACCTGACAAAACACAGCGTAACAAAATTTCCCAACTCTTTCAAACACTCACCTTCGAATGTGTGATTGACAGCGTATCCACCCAAACACGCCAGCCACCCCACTCATATTTGATTGCATGGTAGAGTAAAATTCGAAATATGGTGTACACCATCTCAGTTATCTTCTGTTCCTCAGAAGTCTTTGGATTAAAACAGCAAAGGGAAAGCATCCACTCCTGCCAGACAGAGCACTGCAACAAACTCCTACAAAACACACACACGCTATTTCATCAAAATTCAAAATATATCTATATTCAAATATTTTTTTTCAATAATACATATAATTCAAAATACACATCAGCTAAGTCAGGAATTCAACATGATTAAAACGATTGCTACGTGCAAGCTTCTCTAATCTTACATATTGAAGACTATACTAAAGTACAGAATTTACTGAACAGCAATGAAGCTGTATCTGCTTAAAGAGTCTAATTTACTAGGAGACCTTGTTACTTAATTTGCATACATGTGCATACAGCAAGCCATCTTACCTCCTATTTTCTCTGCTGTTATTAAAAAGTTTAATCATATCTGAGAGAAAGGCTCGCCGAACCTCCAGAGTTTCTGGACACTGTGGAGAATTACGTAGCAGGATTGCAATAACCTTCAAAATCTCTGTAACACAGTTCATGAGCAACAAAATATTAGTACTGAGCACAGCATAAAATATAGGACACCTTCCAATATTGTTTGTACGAGAAAAGCGATGCTACATAAAGTTTTATACTGAGAAAAAGCACATCTCTATTTGAGTAGAAGGCTTAACTAATACAAATTCCTTCTTTCAAGACCTCTCAAACATGGTCACCATCAGGGGAATTTGTAGGCCTATACAGCTAAAGAAAATGGAATCCAAGTTAAATTATTCTGATTTTTTTTTTTTAATTATGAGGTTTAAGCAACACAAATGTTACCACATGACAAATGACAAGCTGTCACAATCCATCGGAACTTTTTTCTAAGGAAGTTCACATAATACAATGCATCTGTTAGAAAATCAATACTAAGAAAAAGACATAGATTTTGCTCTACCTTACTAATATTTAATTTTCAAAGAATGTGAGCAACTTCTGATTACACCTAACAATTTCTGTTACAAAGAAAAGATTGAGAAAGGGGACAAAACCTTCCTGACATAAAATTTCATCTCTTACAAGCATAATGTTTTCTACATTTTTAGGAGACAGTCAAAACTGTAGATACACTCCTCTTTTTGAAGCAGTGGGGCAGTCACTGTCCTAACTTTTAAAAAACAAATTAACTTTGTAAACAAATTAAGGTGCAATTTGAACATGGTCACTGTGATAGTTTCAGTTCAACTTATACAATTTCTTTAAAAAGAAATTCATTATTCGGTAATACTAGCACTGATCTTAAAAAGGTACTCTAGAAGTCACTCTTCCTCCTAGAATAATGTAGATAATAATAACAACTTTGATATTCAGACTCATATCTCACACTACAAATAATCTACAAACCACAGCAGTAACTGCCAACTTCAAAAATTTTAAGAGAAGGTAACAGAAATCTCCTCACATCTCTTGCTTCATACAGATTTACCAGAAGGCAAGCGGCATACTGCAACCAGATTGCTTTCCTCGGTATCTGCTTTGCCTTCCTTTCTCTTCCCTCATGTTCCACATGAAGCAAACCCACAACTATGACCTACAGTTAATGACAAAGCAGCTATGAAAGTGAAAAATCTATTATTTCTCCAGAAAAAATGAATTCCCAAAGCTATCATAAGTCCATTGTATTATATACAGAGCACATTAATAACACATATAATTCAGGAATGGAGATCAGTATTTTCTCTTAGTTCAAAAGACATCTAAAGTTTCACATCAAGATATTTCCCATAAAGTAAGCTAACCAAAACAGTGAGCAGATACATTTCTCCTAGTTTCCATCTTGTGTTGTCGTACTGAATGTAATTTAAGATGAAGGCTGTTTCCATATTTCAGGTAATTTAGTCTGACATCACTAAATAATGCAATCAGAATTTTGCTAGAACCCTAACATGTATTAAATCAAAGTATCCTGTGCACGCAAGTCTTGAAAAACCATTTCATAACATGACTGCACAGCCAAAAAGGGTGAGTTATGAACTACATACACATTTAGACACATAAAACATCTTCCGAAAAGCTAGAGACATATTTCCTAAATAACTCCAACTAAATACATATTATCTTTTCTTTTGTATGAAAGACTATGTAAAACTGAGACCAGAGTTAAAACTAGTACATATAATTAATAAGCTTTCTCATGTCTTTTTTTTAAAGTACATTTTTCTTAAGGTAGCACTTAGAAACGTGTATCATTCTTACGAGGATTTTGTATCTTCACTGTTGAATCTGAGTCAGGATGTTGTTTATGTATCACTTGAGTGCAAATCTGTTCAGTCAGAATCTAGCAAGAAAGAAGAAGATGCCATATCAATGTTCATAAAGACAGCTCACTGAAAAATAGTTGAATGCATCCTTCACACAGCACCATCATTATTTCACCATGGTTCTAAAAATTATCCAAGAAACCCAATTGTTCTCTTTGTTCATAATTTATTTCGTCCCTAAAATTTTACTCAAAACTATTTTCTTTGCTTTCTCTTAAGCACACACTGTTATTTTAAATACACTGGAAGAGAAACCTGAATCTAACCAAAACAATCATCATAAGGCAAGATCCTTGCTGTAATAAAACTCCACGTATATATGAGTGCCTGCTTGAGACGTTCAGGTTACGCACTATCTAGAATTGTTCATAATGAGCATAACCAAGTTAAAGCAGGGGGAGGAGAATCCCAAGTAGCGAGCTTTGGGGAGAGAAAAAAAGCACCACTCAGCTGCATCACGCTAAGGTTTAATGTCATCTGGAACATATCAGCACAAATATGTAAGCAATTTTCTAACAATGTCTTACAAGTAATTAGGAAGATTGGATCCTAACTGCAGTATATTACTACCTCAAATAGGACATTGTATGTGGTCATGGTGATTAAGCTTGTCTGAAGCATCAGCCTTTCAGCCAACAAAGAAAACAATCCATGTCCAAGCATGACTTCAGCTTTTCTCCTAAAATAGTACAGAAAGATAAAATTAACTTACACGTTCAACTTGCTTTAGGGGAAAAAAAAAAGTTTAAAAAGTGTGCCTCAAGAAACATGAAATGACTGGAAACATCTTTTTCTTTAAGTCTTTCACGTTTGGTTAAGGAAAAGGGCAAGGATTCAAATTCTGAAAGGACAAATCATTCCCTGAAGACAGACAGAACACAGCTAACTTTCTTCTATAAATGCAGTCCACTCACTCATGTGCCCAAAAGGCTTAAACACATCCTTAGGCATTTCTTGATAAACACTAAGGAAAGGGTATCTTTGTCCTCATTTCACTCAAAAATCCAACCATGGACAGAGATCTCAACAGTTACCCACTACTGGAGTCAACTCGAGACATATTAAATCTAGTTCTCAGTAAGTAACATGGAGTTCAGTTTCACCAGTCTAACTAATTCTTGCTACCAATTTCAGTGGAATTACAGAAAAAGATCACTTTAAAAAGCAGAGAGCCATACTTCTAGTAAGTATTCAATGACCTTGGTAAGGAAGTGATAATGTCTGGACACTAGTTGCCCATAACAAGTAATTCCACTTAGAAATTAGAAATGTGTTAAAAAATTCCAATTAGAAATTCCAATTAGAAATGTGTTAACGACAGAGCAAATTGAAGGGTACTTGAAGAATAGTAGCTCCTATTCAGTAAAGCATATTTAGTGGTTAACCTCCAATACAGCTTTTTCTACTTCACATAGAAACGTGTGTATGTATACACACCAAATAACATATGGCATCTATGTGTCACAACTTACCTTTTCTTCCTGCTTTTTTTGGGGGGTTGTTTTAAGATCTGAACCAGTACTTACTTTGGAGCAAGATGCTTTAAGAAATATCCCATCACTTTTAGAGCTTGCACCCTGATGCCTTCACTTTGGGATGCTAAAAGCTTGTAGACAACCCTAAGTGGAGAAAACACAAAGCTTCCTAAAGTAGTTGAAATACACAGCAACTTTCGCAATAACAAATCACCTGCAGTAGACTGCAAATAAATTTGTACCTGAGTCTAATTTAAAAGAATGACTATTAATAAGACTACAAAAAACAGCATGATGTTTCTGCTAATGGCACAATAGCTTGTGATTTCACATTTTGTAACTACATTCAGAGATTTTTAATCAAATTTAAATACCTCCCAAATATCAATACATAAAATATGCTGTGAAAGGCTGCTGCAATTCTTATATTGAGAACTGTCTTAATCTGCTATTTTACCCAAAAAGCTAAGCAAGCAATTATTTCAGTATAAATGTGGATGGATCGGAATAGTCATGTAGGGAGATGGATTTATTACTAGCACTAATATTTGACATCTGCACACACTGCTGCTCCCTCAGGAGGGATAGGAGAAGACACCAAGTCAGGAGGCATTCTCCTCATTTCACCTACATCAGTTCTGCTCTTCACCTCCTTACGACCATGCTCTACACCCGCTTACTATTCCCCACTAAAAAGGTCCAAGAAAAAAGTCGAAGGGAGCAAGGGACATGTCTGTAACAAATTACTAGACTTAACTACCTGAACAGTTCTACCTGAGGTTTTCCCAAGAAAGAAAATGAGTGTATCACACACAGCAAGGAAAGTGTCAATGTAACTGATGAAAGTCAGGTAAATTCCTAAACAATTGGAAGTACAGTCTTACAGTGGGAAGTGTCCAGTAACCTTAAATATATTTGACATTACCAATTCCATCTGTAATACTGCACAGATCTCATCATGCGTACCTATGCCTTCCGCTCTCCAAATAAAATGAAATCAGACTAGCATTCCATCTTAACTTCTCAAACATTAATTTGCAGTACATTAAAGCTTAATCTTTTATTAAATGAAGTTTATTTACACAGCGAAAAATTCTAATACTGGCCTTCTAGCAATGTGAAGAATAACAAATGCAACTTTTTGATCCTTGTAAATGTCCCATAAAAACATCTAAATGTATTTATCAGTTACATCTCATTTCGTTCATTGCTTACTTTGTAGACAGTAAAGTGCTTATGACCATGTCACGATCCGATTTCAGTTGAGCTATGGTTCATGGTATTGGACAGATCTCTGAATTTGTGAAATATGATTTAGCTTATACCTAACAGGGGCTACTAAGCTCTCTCTGAAAACAGAAAATATTAATTTTCTAATGCTCCATGAAATTATATTGGAACAGAAGGCACAGCACTCAGCTTTTACTTTTCTGAGTAAATTTTTGAGAAAATTTGTATCGCTTGGCAGAGGGGGGGGACAGGAGGGGTGAAGAGAGAATAATCTAATTTCAATGATTCTTGAGTCTTTCCAAAAATATCCCATGTTACAACACCACATTTTAGATCAGCCAGTTGTAAAGAGTTCAAAGGATTTTTTCAAGTTTCTAGGCCTTATTTATACATAACTGAGTACTCATCACTAGTTACATATCCCTTCATTTTTACATACCTAAAAATATTACCCAGCACACCTAAACTAAGATTAAAAAAAATCTAGTCCATACTAGAATTTACAGTGAAAATTCAGGAGCAATTAAAAAAACCCAGTTGTCTATAACAAATAACTTATCCTGGAGAAAACTGCAGCCACAGCAACTATAGAATCAAACAAACAAGCAAGCCCATGATACAATGTTCATTCAAGCAACATAATCCATTTCCCTGCTCATCTTAACAGAACAGTATGCAGGTGACCTAACTGCACAGAAAAAAATAGTTCCTTACACTTATTATTTCTTCAGTAGATTGGTTACTTTTAAAATTTTAATTAATTAAAAACTTCAAATGTTTATAAAGCTTTGTAAAATTCTTTTTAAAATTTCAAGAAGACGGTGTTTTAATTGCAAAAAGTAGATGTATCAAATAAGCATACAAACAACCTGTTAAACAACTGGACACTATATAGGAGCAAGGAATGTAACAAACGAGACAGGGAAACAAAGTGATTTCTCACTGTGGACTCACTATTCATACTGACTTGTCCACACACTAGTTAACAAAAAAGAAAATGTCTACTGCCAGTTGTTAAATAAAAACATATTGCATTGGAGACCCAACATGACATTGAAATACTTTATTATTTAGAGTTTTTATTAGTTTCCCATAGCATAATACATTACCATACAAATAAAGTCAAAGCTGAAGGGCGTTAAAAAAAAAAAAAAATCAGTCCAGCACTAAAAGGGGAGAAAACAACTATGAATGTGCCTGAATGTTGTCTCTTGAGAAAGGGCAACTGAAAAAATATACGTATAAATAGGGGTTAACCAAAAGGTGCAACGAAATGTATGAAATGAGACTCTGCCTTTATACAGCGAGAGAATTACTACTTCACATATCCTTCTAGGAATAGTTCTTACATTTGTTTGCCTGTTCCAATTTTTTCCCCATTAATTCCAGGCAGGTTCATTCTAAATCAGAGAACTTCAATAAAATGACCACTCTCTGAGAGCCAAAACACAAAATCAGAGGCATAACGGTCTTTTTCTAGCAGATCTTCTCCTATGCTTTTCCTGTTAGGAGATTTCACTGTTTTCCCTACTTTTCTCTCATAATAGTGTTAAACAATATTTTTCTGTTTGTTGGGAAAAATAAATTGTGAACAATCCATATCACAAAGCACTAAACTTGACCAAAAAAAAGGTTTCTTCTGCAAAAGTCCCATAATGCTTTACATGTGGTTGGTTTTTTTTAAAAAAAAAAGAAAGTAAAGAAAGATCAGAAGAAATCTGAACCAATTTTTGTCAGCCCACTTTCAGTTCTAAAACACATGTAAAACGGGAGGCTGAAGACAAAGTGCTAGTAGATAAAGACTTAACATCAATGTATAGACTAATTGATCTCTACCTGCTTAAGCATGACTGACAGCTTGGAAACATAACAACAACAAAAAAAGACCTCATTGATAATAAATCCAACATCACCTCTTGTCAAAAGAACACCTGGACACAAAAATCTCCCAAGATGAGGAGCCTCAGACTGCAACACATACACTGATGAGGATCTTTCGGATTTCATGGGAATTCCAGCAAGCAACAGTATACTCAAAATACTATTTCCTTTTGCCCACTTACAAAATTCAAACTTACTGTAATCCATTCCTCTGATCAAAAGCAGGGATCATAGAACCGGGATGCTCTGACATCAGAGCAACAAGCAACTGTAAGACATCCATTAGATTGTCATCCTGTTGAATAAAAGTTGCAAATTTCAATTAAAAATGCATATATGCTAGAAGATTGTTTTGGCTAAAAGAACCACTACAAAACATTTCAAAATTATCTGGAGAGTAATAGTAAACTAAGGACCAAAACAATTAGGTCAGGATCAAAAGAGCTATAGATCTGGAAGGCAAGTGCAGGAGGAAATATTACAAAAAAACCCCTTTTATTTATATTTTATAGTGTGAAAAGTGATACATCTGTGACTAGGATGTAAGCCTTTGACAGGTAATGGACAATTGGACTACGCTATTTCCTTCCACACACATGCTCAGCTGTTTGCCTGTGTATTACCCCCTCTCTTACTGCACAGGAGCTAGAAATAAACTGCTGCACATTTTCTGCAGCACAGAGTGTTGTGCAGTGCAAAATCTCTACTAATAAGCGTTCACCTCAGGAAAAAAAAATACCACCATCTGCCAGACACAATATTTAAAATGGGTATTCAAGATGCTCAGTAAAGTTTTCCATACTATAAATCTAAAGCACTCTAAACTACAGTTTATTAATTTGTTTCAAGTTAATTATAACTAAAAATAACCTACAAAGTAGCAAAATGCAACTGTCTTTTCCCATTCTTTGTGGTATTAACTATGACAAGTATGAGTTTTACTTGTTTTGGTGATGTTTTTCTGAATTTACAACTAGATACCTAATTCGGTGGGATTCAGCATTCATAGATCTTTTAGATTTGACTATGCAAACTGCTAAGATAGTTAAAGTATCACCTACACATCTGAAGGCTATATAAAGCTTCTGCTATTTTGGTTTACTTTTACATGTTATCAAGTGTCTTATTTTTGCCACCTCCATATGAAGCAGAATGGCTTAAATTACTTGACCTTGGCACTACTAAGTAGTAGCAACCAGCACATAGAATAAAAAGAAAATACAGGTGTAAACAAAAAAAGAAAAAACCCTACTGCTTGAAGTTCAATTAATTCCTTATTTTACCCATTTCAGGCACCATAACAGAGATGAGATCAGTTAGATTTATGTCCCCATTTCCCTTGTCTTTGATGTTGCATCTGGCATAAAGTGCCTTTTCCTGGTGCTAAAATATGAAGATGCAGATGTATCAGTGGTAACCAACATTTTCTCCCAATTAAGTTTATATGCTTCTCTTAGATGCCATTAACATACATCTTTATTTTTAAAGCATGTTTTCAATTTTATTGCTTTATTTAAGAAGCAAAATAAAAAGGAGAGAAAAAAACAAAACAAAAAATATTACTTAGGCAGCATAAAACAGGGTTTTGCCTCTTTTTTAAAGTCGGTCTCACCATCTGTTTTTCTGCTTGGTAAATCAGTTTGCAGAACAACATAAGAAACCTTTTGGACTTACTGGCTTAATGAACTTCAATGTAACACTGAACATAGTGCTTAAATCACTGCAAGAACATTGGCGATTCAGCATGCTACACTAAGGAGTTGGACAATGTTTGCTACTTCCTCTACAGAGCCATCTTGTGGCATAGAGAAGGTAATATTTGAAAATATTCAAACATTTCACGGTTACAAACAGCAGCAGGAGCACACCTCTCCTCCCACACAACCCCCAAATTAAAAATTACCTCGTGTATAGTAAGCAGATAATTGAGGATAGCCTGCAATTCATCTTCTTTTATTCCGTAGTCCTTTAAAAACAATCAGGTTTTAACTATCATCTTTCAAGTACAAAAGTACCATTCCCAAAAGAGCATCATTACTGTTATATACAGAGCAAGTCCCACAAGAAAAAAAAAATCCCTTTTCACTTGCTACTATAACAGCTTCATAGATGGAGGGTAGCTTTTTTCCCTGCCCAAAAAGGTTACAAAAGTGCTTTAAGACAACTCCAGTACAGGCACAAAAACAAGCCAGATAGTAATCGAGTACATGAACTCGTTAAAGTAACACACGTTAATTGACATAGACAATTTGAACTGAGAGTTTCGTATTAATAGAAGAATTAAATTAAGGTGGCAAAGAGCATTTAAAAGTAGACCTGGATGTTAATTATAAGCCTGATAGCTATGCCTACAGCTGAGTTTGCCTCTTATTTTCCACTACAGAATCCTACCTTCAGTTGCTATCAACTAAGCAGAAATTTAAATCATTTATGACATCTATGTCAGGAATCTGCCTTGAGGTCTTTTTGGTGAAAATAAAATGAAAACTAACAGTTTCTAAAAACAGGATGAGGGAAGGGAAAAGCAAGCTTCTTCATTTCTAGGGCTTTTATTATTTAAAGCAAGTCTCCCACTTCCTGAAAAGATTTTGCACTGCTGTGTACAAATAGAAAATTGGCAGAAGAATCAACCTTTTATGATGGACATGCTTTTTCCTGTCCTTGTGAAACTATTATCTCTGACAGAAATTTAAAAAACTTAAAAAAACCCAAAGCTAACACTTCATGAAAGTCTTTTAGAGTTTGACAGCTAAAATGTCCCCAGTACTTCAACTGCAGAACATCCATTCTAAAAGAGTATAAGAGTCAAGAGCAGAACTTTTCCAGTAGTTACACCTCCATACTGCTGGGGCTAAGGGTAGCAGCACAGAGAGCATACTGGTCCCTTAGCAACCCAGAGGAAGAGGGAAAAAGGGAGCTAGATTCCAACACAGAAAAAGTCAGGAGAGAAGAAGAGAGAGATCGGCGCTTACAATAGGAAAGGGTTAAGAAGAGTCTATAAGCAGTAAAACTGCTGTATTTCAGTATTGCTCTAGTGTCTAACAAAGTTCTGAAACACAGATAAAGCCTTTCTTAACCTCCTCTGTCCCACAGCATATAATGTCAAATGTTGCTCTTTAGTCTTTAAGCACTTCTGATGCAGGTGATACTGTGCTTGTCCAAAAAAAAAGAAAAAAGAATTAAATACTTATTTCCCCAGTTGTAAAAATTTCTAAATTAATGATTTAACAGCTCTACTTTTGATAAAAACAGCTTAAAAAGGAGAAAAATGCATCTTTAACACTGCTGTCTACAGCAAGAGTCACAACAAAAAGACACACCTTACATGGTACATCTATATACTTATTTGTTTACAAAATTCAACATGCTTACAAAGAAATGCTATATTAAAGAGCATTTCTTTAGGACAGGAAATTTAGATATCCTTTCATAATTTAAAGTCATCCTACCTTCATCACTAGCTGTTTAATGAACATCAATAAGAATGCTCGCAGAGATAAAATCTCTTTTTGAGTAGGCCGTGGCCCATCTACAAAAGAAGAAAAGTAGATAGATATATGAAAGAAAATTAACAGCTATTAGCATAGTACGCATTTTCACACAAAGAAAACTAAAAGGCATTTTGCAGGTGAAGAGGGCACAATTCTAAGTAGTCATCTTTCTTCCACTTCAGATTACAAAACACTAATGTGTTTTATCATGTTCATTAGCAAAACGCCCAAACAGTGAGGCTATACCAAGGCTTTTATTAAATACAGTTTTCTAAACCCCTCTAAATTCTTTCCATTCTTTTGCTGCTTTCTTGCAGTGTTTATGAACTAACTTCATGGATGGAATAAGATTGATATACGAGCTTTATGTTAGAATTTCATGTTTTTGCAGTTTACAATTGTTTTTAAAGTTCTTCTGCTAAAGGCTTGGATGAAGAACTACATGCCATTATTACACATGGCTATATACACAGGAAAAATCAATCTTACAATGCTGTATGTAAAGATTACCCTGAAAGCCACGACTTAATTTGTTAACTCAAAGTCAAAAGGACTTGCTTCTGCCATTCCTGCGTGAAGCAGACTTTCACTGAAACATTTTAAATACTCAAACACTGAGCAGTTCCCAGGAGAGGCAAGGTTAAAAAAACAGGTGCAACCAAATGTCAAAACCAAGCAAAAGCTTTCATACAGAAAGCAAATGAACTGTTGCAAATACGTTTCTAGGGATAGCTTTTACATTTGCTCATAGGTTCACAGTTCTTATGATCTTAATCATCAGAGAAAAGTAAATCAACTAGCAAATGTAAGCGACCATACGAGTCCGGTTTTACACAGTATAAGCCCACAGGCATTATTTGGGTTACGAAGTTATTTTCAATACAGACTAGTGTAGTCAAAACAAGACATTAAACCCTACTAGTATGACTACCCTACACATACACTTGCCTCAGGCTCAAGAAATCAGTTCAGAAATAATTAAGTAGATCCACGTCTTCACTAATAAGAAAGGAGAACACATGCATGCTTTGCCCCTTAAAGGATGCAAAACACTACAAAACAGTCTTTGCAACCCTCTAACAGGAAGGGTTGGTCATTTTGAGAAGTTGGTGGCAGGAAGTCGGACACATCTAAGGAGCACTCAACTCCCAGCTATCTTTCATTACCTGCTTCTCTCTGAAATTCCAGAGCCTTTCTTCATTACAGGAGAGAGCAGAGATGTAAGCTATTCTCCCTTTGTCCAACCCCATAAAGCACAGAACAACAATTAGAAGAGTCGTAAAGTCATACTTCCAAATAGCATTAATTCCCTTATCTGCACCAGTTCCATCTGCATGTGTTTATGTTATGTTGCTGTACATTCCACTTCTCCCAGTTCCTTTTACAGTTCTGGATTTCTTAGTCAAGCAGCTATTCCTTGTGCTTCTTTTCTTAGGATCAGTATTCTTGTTCTGTGTTCCGTGTCAATGACAAGTACTAAACATCTGTTCTAAATTTCTTATTACTTCTTTCACCATGAGTTCACTGTCTGGATTAAGCACGCTTATTAAGCCATCTTCCAAAATTTCAGATCCCTATGTCTGTCAGACAGACTCAGCATGCTTGTTTTCAGCTATTATCAATAGATCTTACAAGCACTTAAAGACTGTCCAGTACTTGAACAAGCTCCATAAAGAGACCACATTCCCAGGCACAGCCCTACACTTTCCAAACCCTACCATTTCTCTGAGCAGCTCTACACAGTATTAATTCACATCGGTCTTTGATGGCAGAGGATATGACTTCTGAAGAAAGTTCCCGTTAGATTGTGAGAAAAAAGCTTTCAAGAATATCCTATGGACAAAAGCACACTGCTCAAACTGTTACAGTGAACCCACTCCATTAAAATAAAATTCTTTCTGGAATATTTACGTTTCTGTTTTCTACATTGTATACAACTTTTTCTTTTAAAAGAAACATTGATTTGTGAGAGTAGAAATAATACATACCTATGCCCTTGGGAGTTATACCACTGCGATCCTGAGGATTCACTACCCAGTAATAATACTTTAGGGTATGCATGACCAAAAGAACGGTCCCAACCCGCCGGATTGCACCATATATGTTAACAGTGCCAACGAACTCAGTAGACAGGTAAGTGTACAGGATCAGCTGAACCTACAACACCCAATTAGGAGATCAAAAATCATTACGGCAAAATTGCAGCACATTAGACAACCCCATTCTTAAATTTCATCTATTAAAATGTCTTACATAGGTTCTTCTCTGCCAGGCTCAGTCACAAATCTCTCAAAACCCTTGGAAATTGACGAAAAATTTCATTTTGTTTCTAAAACTGTTACAGAGTGCTGTAGGTTTTTTTAAGCTGGTCCATGCTCACAGAAGCATGAAAGCATCATAGTCACACAATCACAGATAGCTGAGCTTGGAAGGCACCTCTGGGGATCATCTAAGTCCGACCTCTCTGTTCAGAACAGGGTCACATAGGAAGTACTACAGAAAGGTGCATATTTATTACAGGCTTCAGTATTCATTATAGCTTAATTATTTACATATCTTCTTTCCCTTTCTCTTCTGAGAAATAATGACTTCAATAACAATTTAATTTAGCTGCAGCAAACGAATGTTTGACAACTTCAACAGTAGCATTGTTAGTGTTGTCTCAGTTTTTGAAATGCAAAACAAATTCTTACAGAGGGGATCAAAACAGCTGGTAAGAAGATTTCAAGTAGAACCAAGTGGAAAGTTTCCATCCAAGCTGTTTGCTTTCACAGGACATAAGAAATTTGCACATTTTTTCACATTTTTCACCAAAACAAAAATACTCTGCAGGGAGTATGTCAATTTAAATGAAGACGTCAAAATCTGTCACCCAGGATAATTACTCTTAGAAATTACTGGGGTTTTGCCAACTAAACCATCTAAAATTCCTTCTCAATCTATAACGCTGACTGGGTCAGGGTCTCCAGAAGTCACTCCCAGATCTGCTCTGCAGAACGCTGCAGGTTTCCAAACTTCCCAAACGACTGCTACATGCAGAAAAGCAGAGTCTGAAGACATTCCTGTATGAATTCTGCTGGAGAGCGAGCATCTATAATTCTGGGAGTCCCGGCTTAGTCTCAACACTCTCCAATCAATACATCATAAGATACCTTATTCAAAAGAATAAGCAATTTTACCTGTGCTGGGATATGAATCCATATTGCAGGATTAAGGAGAACATGATCACACAGCTGCTTCAGCAAGGGTGCCCCATTGTGTAAATTGCTTAGGTATTTCGAAAAGGCAAGGCAAAGTTCTAGCACAGCTCGGGTAACGTGGGCTTTGGAAGACTGTAAAAGAAGATTTGCTTAAGGAAAGGCCCTACATGGTCTAGGAAAAACATTTCTCTCAAAAAAAAAAAAAACCACACCAAAACAAAAACCCAATCAACATTAACATAAGACATCAAGAAAATTTTGCTTTACCTTTTCTAGGCTATATCCTATCACAAGGAAGCCCTTACAGGAAAGCATCTGCTCTTGCATAGCAATGGAGTTCTTCAACAACTCCATGATGAAAGCCAATAAAGTAGAACTGAAAAATATAACGTCTTGGTAAATAAAAATGTTTTAAAAGGTTACAATGAGACAGAAAGTACTTCCAAACTAACACTTCCATCAAATAGCCCAGAGATATGTTTAATGTGTTATATAAACGCTCAGATCAAAATTTTTAAAATAAAAAGCAAGACTAAATTTTGAAAGCTCTAAATTTTTGCTTTTAATGAATGCATTTCTAACTCAAAATTCTGGATTCTGAGATAACATGCAAGAACAAAATTCTTCTGAAAATACATTCTTGCAGAAAGGCAACAGTTAAGTCTGTACTTCTCCGTGCTTTGTATTTCACTTTCAAACTTCTGCAAGATAGTAACAAACGTCATTCCACTTCCTACTGCTTTCAGATGGACAGATATGGGAAATATTTTCCTAGACACAGCTTTACTATTGGTTCAAGCTAATTTAACTCTGTGCTGTTGCCAGAAGGAATGTTCATGCTCTTCTCCTTGTGTCACAGTCAGCACAAGCAGCCCAGGAACGTACAAATGTGCTGAAGGAACATTGTGATTACCCCTTCTTAGCAACAATATGGATGTAGATCATCTTTAAACAGTTATGAAACTACAGCTGCAATGAAACAGAGCAAACTACACCAAGATTCCGAAAAAGCAATCTCTTTGCTATTAATACTACTTTTTAAATTAGGAGATCCACCAGTTTCTGTGCCTGGATGTTCAGAAGCAGGACTGGGTGTAAACAGAGCTGAAACCAGGGGAAAAACCTGGCAGTAACACTGAGTAACAGTATCTCCCAAAAAGTCTGAAGGTAAAAAAATTTTAAAAATTCCAAGGAATGACTTCATGTAGATGAAAAATTTATCCTTCTTGGAGTTTCTCTTGAAGCCTTCCTCAGTGGATTTTCCCCATGACAAGGATAAGCTCAAGAGAATTGCCTGTAATTCTCTTGCTCAAAAAAAAAAGCGAAGTAGAAAATGTGTACGTTTTGATTCTATGTGAACTTTCATAGAAAATTTAGTACCAATAAGCACATCACTTTGAGGTCCTGCCTCTAACCAGGCCACCTTTTTGTTTTTAGACACAATTCGTTGTTGCACAAGACAATTTAGACTACTATGCCACTTAATAAAGCAAGAGGTAATCATGTTTACTTAAAAAGAAACAAAGAACAGAACACAATAAGTGCATGCACTCACCAAACAGTTGTGTCAACGTGGTCTGATGAATATTGCCTATAGTCTAACTGTGCAAAGAGAGGGAAAAGTACCTGCACTCCTCCAATGGAGTGCAGGGCACTTTGGATAGAATGCGTTAAGACTGCTTTCACATCCTGACAAAGAAGAATTAAAAAAATATTGACATCTCCTTCAGAAACTGTTAAAAAGTTTGTTAGAAATAGTTTGAAATTTCTTCAATATAAAAACTGTATTATTACCAAATGAAAAGAAACAGCGAGAACTACAAACTGGCTGCCACAGCCACACTAAATGCCCAGTATGGCTGACCTACTGCTCTAGATACAGTCTACAGTGTAGATCCTCAGATGAATATACAGGAGGTGGCTTGCAAATTCTAAATTCTTTAGTAACAGAGAAACTCTAGAACAGAATACACAAAAAGCTTCTGACAAAAGATTGAGACTTTCAAGATATAGGGAAGAACAGGGTATCGTGTCAACAGGGCAAAGGACAGGAGATAGGTCATATCTGTAGTGGAGTGAACATATGTCAGGAATGAGGAAGACTACTTGAAAAGCTAACAGTCTTAGTAATACTGATGTTTTTTAGGTTGTGACTTTGATATAATAAACTTTTTTATTAGGATTCTTGCACTTCCACATTAATTCAAGAAACTAAGGAGGTATCAGCGGGATCAACTCAAAAAACCCAACCTATCAGCAGTTCCCTGTCTTGTTCAGATCCCTATAAAACCTGATTTTTAGGTTTCAAACAGAAATCATTCATATCCTCCAAATCTATGAAAACGCTGATATACCTGCAGCATGAGGGCATGTGGTGAATGAACAAAAATAGACGGGTTATCCTTAGGGGATGACTCCAGACACAGCTGTGCATCTGTAGCCCTTGGATTGTACATAAACGCGATAGCACTGGATAGTTTGCCATCATACAGCAACAATTTGTGATGTTCATCAAGGAAAAGATCACTTTCTGCCTTGAATTTGAATGTTCCCTGGATTGAAGAGCAGGGGTGAGAAAGCGAAAAAGAAAAAAAATTAGATTACACACAGTGAGGATACAGTTCACAACACAGCTACTGCCAAAAAATGACTAAAACATTGCTTCTTCAATCTAGCAATATTTCAGAAAGAAGGAGTCTCATAAGAACATGGACTCAAGTCAATTTTACAGAATTAAAACTGCAGACTTTTTTTTTTCCACAGCATAGTGACATTGCGAAAATGGTGGGTAACATAAAAGAAACACATTAACTAGGAAACTGAATGACAGTCAGCAATGTTCACTCAGAAGGAACTAATAACTGAGGAGCAGATAGAATAGGAACCATCTTTTTTAACGCATGTTTGTACAGCTGCTAGGTAATAACAGTCTTCAATTAGTACCCCTCAAGCTATGACAAAACAAATAATAAATCACTGCAAGAAAACTAATCCTCAGCACTAACTTCACACATTAAAAAAAACAACTGACTAGCATAATCAACTATAAAGCTGCATTTCTAAAACAAATACATCATACTTGATCTAAAGTTTTCAGTCTCAATGAAAAAGTGAACCTAGCCAGAGATAACAGTGGTGTTCCTCCATTTCCCAACCACCGATACAGAAATTTTGAAAAGTAAAAAGGAACAAAAGTATTTTTTAATAGGAAATTAAATAATTGAATTAATGCTTACTTATAGTTTGTGAGGTGTTACATAGGTTTATAGAAGAAACATGGAATTTTTTTATTAAAAATTTTTGTAAAAAGATCACACAGTAAGAACATTTTTAGCAGGACACAGAGGTATCACAACATTCTTAAAACCAGTCATAAAGAGTCTTATCAGAATTAAACTTTGGAAACTTTGCAGTCAATTCTAAGATACCTTGTATCCCAGACCAAGCTGATAAATGGCAAAGATCTGAGCAGCATTGAGAGCCTCACTGAAGAGGTAAACGGATGTCATTTGCCCACAAAACACTCGATTGCCATCTGCTGTTTCAGAAGAACCCAGGAAACATTTGTCAAATGTCTGAAAATGAAACAGAACCCAGTAACGGGGTTTAATCTACGCTACACAAGCAAATTATGCAAAGAATATGTGCATTATCAGGGAATACTATTTTTACATAAACAAGCATCCGAGAGTCTCTGCAGAAACAAATTTTGAGCACTGAGATACATAAACGTAGAATCTACCAAAACGTTCATGATTTTATTTCAACATTTTCTAAAATGCATTAAATGGGGGAGGTTTACTAAGAAAATGGCAAAGATATCTACTTAATCCATCAAGATGATCGACTATAGCTATACTATAGTAGACAGGGATTACTTACATCACTGGTGTTGACAAACCATGTGACTTCTCCATAAGATGCCAGTTCCCCATTCACGTAACATCGAAGTTCACTGTTCTTCCAGCGGTTATAGATGTGCACTATAGTAACCATATACCACTAAATGGGAAGAAAACAATCGATATAATTCTACAGATGCTTGAAGTAGTTTAAGCATTGAAGTAGGGCACAGTAGAACAAATGTAACTATTTATGTGAATATTAAATTAAGACTGAAAGATTTATTTTAAGTCAAAAAGATTAAGTCACCAGTGATTTTTCTTGCATAGGTATGTCAAAGGATAATACGCCCGCTTTTTTCCACAAAAAGTAGACACAGAAGCTTAAGAGGTATCTATGGCGTAGAACTCAAAAAAATCTTCATGGCAATGCTGAACAAAATTTAAACTGAAACCACTGTGCAAATAAGTTTTAAGGTGGGTTACTCTTAGCATGATGGACTACTGCAAACGTCATTCCAAAGAGCAAGGACGGCTGCAGACTACAGACTTTCAAAGGCTGTGCATGTCAAATTATCACAAACAGAATCCGTATTTACAGCACAGGATTACTGATAAGAAATTCCTGAGGAGGGTCTGTTCTCCCACAAAACATCTACACCAGTTGCTCCAGAAACATTAGCAGAATATCTAACTGAAAAAGGAAACATTTTCAACATAGTATAATACTACTTACCAGGCAAGCAAGCCTTGAACATCAATAATAATAAAAAAAAAAAAAAAATCAATTCATATTTTAATTCTTATACTTAAAAAGATACCTAGAATAAAGCATCAAATGCAAGGAGACTATTTTCTGGACAACCTGAATGAACATACAGCATAACATTGCTTGAAGAATGAATCTATTTTTCCTCCCACATGCAAGACGACCAAACTCCTATTAATGGTCGTAGCTTGATTAGGAAAAGGAAATGTGAGTTAGTAATCATGCTTTCTTAAAATAACATTGCATTTGTCCACATTGAGTAAGTAATGACATAAAGGGAGGCTTTAGCAAAACGACAAGAGAACGTCTGGAGGTGTGAGAAAACCCAGTATATAAACAGAGAAGGAAAAAAAAAAAAATCACAAGCCTGTATATAAGTACTAAGAGTTCCCAAAGAACTCACACAAGTCTCAAATTCATAGAACTCCTGGTAAACTGCGTTTTCTAGCTCTTTCTTATACATTTCGTAAGTAAAATTAAAAAGATATAAGAATTCAGAGCACAAATTTGTTTTGCTCATTCCAGTGGAACTGTTGTTACATAGAAAGACAAGTCTAATCAATAGCTGCAACACACTCCCCTAAGCTGCATTTTTAAATTCTTGAAATCTGTTTGAAAGATTTTATTATTTTTACTCACCTTTTGTGGCTTGAAATCAAATTTTACACAATGCTGGAAACCTTTTCCCTTTGATTTTATGGACGTTACAACCAAGCAGCCTCCAACAAAGTGAGCAGAATAACCAAGTCCTTTGTTTGTTCGAAAACTAACAAATTAGAAGAAAATCAGCACGTATACAGATGGAAGCAGAAATCATTGCACAGTCAATAGAAACTGAACATCAGAACTACAGTTTTACATAATACTCACCAATATAAGTAAGGCTTATCCTTATCCACGTTGATATTATTTACAGGATCCATTCTTAGCCAAGTGTGGAAGGTAAATCCGTTCTGGTACGGCCACTTGGCTATAGGAGGTAAGGCAATAGCCTAAAGAAAGCAAACAATTATTCATGTAGAAAGATCAAACTCACAACAACAACAGCACACAGCTTAAGATATACACTACAAATATATACTGATATACAGATACACACTACAAATGCGTACAGTTTCTCTATACTAAAAAAAATCTGGCGCAACTTCTGTGGGTTTGTACCCCATTGTTAAAATATTTAATTAATCTAAATATTTAAAAACTAGTCTTTTTATCTCAGAGAAGATTATTAATAGTAACCTACACTTCAAAAATTAAATGCTTTAGTGGAAGCCTTACAGCATAAAAATTCTTCAGAATGCAAATTCAAGTTGATTTGGTTTTGTGGTAACCTGACAGAATAATTGGATTTATAAGCTTATTTTCACATAGTGTTGGTATTCAGAAAAATAATTTATTATGAAAGGAAGTTGGCCACAAATAGAGAATCATATACATTTCACTTAACAGATTCTTCTTCTCTTTTGAAACTCATGTCTATGTAGCCTTCCAGTTAGAATATGATAGACTTATAAAATTCCTAAAAAGAAACGTAATACAAGCCCCACCAGCCAAAATCTTCGTATCAAGCACTGTGTTTACGTTAGCTCAGGTGGTCTTAGGTTATAAACTGTGTGGCAGGGCCCTCTGTGCCAAACAGCTGGGTTTTATTGTGTGGGGTTTTTTATGCTCAGTTGAGTTTTTTTTTAGCATTACTATGAACTTTCCACTGTTTTGCTGCACAGATTTGCAATACTCACTTCAACTAAGACTGCCAAAACCTTTGATCAAAGGTGTGCCCAGATAATCAATACCAACGAACAAAAAACATCAAAAAATTTGAGTGTCGCCAGACTCCTTATCATGCTCCCACGCTCTATTCAGCTATCCCTGCCCAAACCAAATGCTGTAAATCCTTCCCTATACCAGCTAACTAAGCAGTCTGCACGTCTTCAAGCCCAACTTTTTGGAACTGGTACCACTATCACTTGAATTAACTCTCAAGGGGTCTTGGAGTAGTTAAATACTTAATTTCTACGACTTCTTAATTTAAAAATATATATGAATAGGTGAAGTTATATGTCATCAACATGTAACTGCAGAAGTATTTTTCCAGTAGTCTGTGGTTTTTAGTCTGAAGTTTTCATTCCAAAAAAATTCATTACATTATCAAGTTGGTGAAATTTAATCTCAAGCCACTGAGGCAGAAAGGTAATGGGTTTACATGAAGAAAACTGGGAAGAGACATCTGATAAATCTTATACAAATCCTATTCTGGATTAAGCATAAAATTTTGAACATACTATTACATCCTATGATTTTAGGAGCAAAAGTGTTGATATACTTAAATTCCTACAGAAGATTCTGCACAGTGCTTTCCAACTACTTATTTAGTTTCAAATTCTTTTTCAACTCACACTACAGCAATAAAAAATAAATCAGTCACCTGAACAATTACAAAAAAAAAATAGTCATTGTTAAACTTAATCCTCTTTCATTATTGCTATTTAACCCATTCATGTCTAGGATCTACATTTTCTCAAAGAAGTCTTATAAGCAATATACATCATTCACATCATCTGATCATTAAAAGAACCAACAAACAGTGCAAGCCATCATTTCTAGTTCAGCACTTTCTGTGGTTTCTCTAGTGAAGGTTTCTAGGTTTAAGGCTGCATTGTGTTCGCATGGCAAGGCTTTGCAGGGCAGCTGCTGTGAGAAGATGCCAGTAGCTTCTCCCACGTCTGACAGTGCAAGCTCCAAGACGGACTCGCCACTGGCCAAAGCTGAACAAGTCAGAGATGGTGGTAGTGCCTCTGTGAGAACATATTTAAGAAAGGAGAAAAAAAACTGCTGCGCAACCGCAGCTGAAGAGAAGAGTGAGAGTACATCAAAGAAACAACTCTGTAGACACCAAGGTCAGTGGAGGAGGAAGGGAAGGAGCTGCTCCAGGCACCAGAGCAGAGGTGAAGAACATGGTGAGGCAGGCTGTCATCCTGCAGCCCATGGAGGACCCCATGCTGGAGCAGGAGGATGCACCCGAAGGAGGCTGTGACCCTGTGGGAAGCCTGTGCTGGAGCAGGCTCCTGGCAGGATCTGTGATCCTGTGGGGGACTCAGGCTGGAGCAGTCTGTTCCTGAAGGACTGCACTCCATGGAAAGAACCCACACTGGTTGTGTGTGTTCGTGAAGAACTGAAGTCTGTGGGAAGGATCTACATTGGAGAAGTTCATGGAAGTTTGTCTCTGAAGGGTGAAACCCCACACTGGAGCAGGGGAAGAGTGTGAGGAAGAAGGAGCAGCAAAGACAATGTGTGATGAACTGACCGCAATCCCCATTCCCTGTCCCCCTGTGCCACTCAGAGGAAGGAGGCAGAGAAATCAGGAGTGAGGTTGAGCCCAGGAAGAAGGGAGGGGTGGGGGCAAGATGTTTTAAGATTTGCTTTTATTTCTCATTTCCTATTCTGATTTCTTTAGTAATAAATTAAATTAATTTCCCGAAGTTGAGTCCGTTTCGCTCATAATGGTAATTGGTGAGTGACCTCCGTGTCCTTATCTCAACCCACAAGTTTTCCATTATATTTTCTCTCCCCTGTCCAGCTGAAGAGAGGGAGCAACAGAACGGCTTGGTGGGCACCTGGTGTCCAGCTAAGGTCAACTCACCACAAAGCCACTCTTGCACATGCTGGATACTAACACAAGCAGTATTCCCACAGAAACATGGGAGTGAAAAGCAGGCAGATTCTCCTTGCAACAAGATTTAACTGAACCAGTGTGTGTGGGGAAAACAAACAAAACCACACAACCAAAAAAACCCACACAAACAAAAAACCAAAAAAGCCTCATTTAGATCCATTCTTTATGTAATAGTATTTGTTCTTCCATAGTGACAATGCACATTTATTGTAAGCATGATTTATTTGGGCATAATGTAGGTGTCAGGAAGAGAAAAAAAATTGGTTAAAACTTTAATTCTATGACTATAACGGATGAGACAAAAGAACACCACAAATGAAAATATCTAAAGGCAGTAATAGAACAACAAACGAACAAGAGACTTAAAATATCTACATACTGCAGCACTTTTCCCTGGAAAGTTGAAGAAGGCATCAGGTCCATACTTCTGAGGCATGTGTTTTAATACAGACAGTAACTTCCCAGCATGTGGTGGCTGACAGAAAGAATTATTGCACTTGTAAATAAATAAAACACGCCTATAAGAAAGAAAAGACTATACACACAAAAAATGAATTTTGACACATTTTAAAGCATTGCACATGGTTGAGTAATACTCTGCCAAGACACTTAGCACTTCCGATAAAGAACATTAACAGCATCATGGCTACCTTCACACAACACGCAGCAGGTGTGCTGAAATACAATTAATCAGATAACTAAATTAAGGACTTAAAGGCCAGAGCCACTTCCATTCAGCATAAACTAAACTGACCCTGAATGCTGGTTCCTCCCTCTATCTGTTCATTCCCATCAGCGCTACCGTTTGTGTGGATTTGCAGTGAGCTAAAGAAAATTAACTGACCAAGCTGAAAACTCATTTAGGAAAAACAAATGCAAACCAATTTTCTCAGTTACAGCAGTTTTGGATTGTGGCTATGTGAAACCTGCACCAGCACAAGGGAGATGAGGAGTATCTAGCAAAGTAGAGAGGGAGGATCAGCAGACAGGACTATTTTCATCAGGACTACAGTCATATACCAGATTAAAGTGTCTTTGGTTACATACAACCCTTCATATAAGTCCATGGAGAAAGTCTCAAGGGCAGTTTGGAGCACCTAAACTGAGTGTCCAGCTAGTGTGAACACTTAACACTTCCCACCACCCCCCTAATTCTGCATTGATTTTATTATAATGCTCAGTAACCATGAACTCCAAATCAAGTATAAAAGCCCCAAACACCACAGGTACAGCAAATACTGGTCACAGTGACCAAACAATTTTGTGCATCTTCTTTTACCACTTCATAACTTTCCAGTAGATTTTTTTTTTTTTTTAAACTATAAACTGTTAAAATAGCCCCCAATTCCAACAAAACAACAATTTGGTGTTAAAGAAAACTTTATCTAGTGGCCTCTACAACATGCACACTTCTACTTTAGGGAAGAAGGGTCTCAACAGTAAAAGGAGACTCTTCTCCCTTTCCAGTTCACACAGGAACAGGAGAAAACCCATGATACAATTTTTCAGCTGGAGCTTATTTCCTTCACTTCAATTTCTGCCACAAATTCTCACATCCCTAACTAGATAATTTTTTTTCAATCTTCAGGTAAAGAACAACAATGTGAAAATAAATTACCATACTGAACTGCCTATATAGACATTTTTTATTTATTTCTCTTTTGTCTTTTTATTATTTAAAAAAAAAATAATCCTTTTTCCTTCAATTTCATGTAACTGGAATTACAAAAACAAACACATGTGCGTAAAAACACTTGCTTAGAGTCACTATATTATTTTCAGGTGTTCAAAAAGACCAATCCAGTCTACAGATCCAAAAGGAAATTTAATTTTATCATTATTCTACTCTCCGTATTTTAACTGCTTCTAAGTAAAAAGATTCATTGATGTAATACCAGAAAGCATCCTGTATTTCTCAGTACATTTGAAATCTATTATAATGGTTATCAAACAGTCTTTTTACTTGTGAACATTAGGAAAAATATAAGCAATACTACAAAAACGTTTTCAGTTTTGTGTTTTCTTTTACCCATCTCCCTTTTTCTCCTTGAAGCTTGCTGAAGAATAACTTTAGCTCTCGAACTGTCAAGTTATAGCTAGCCAACACACCCAGCATATCCACTAAGAGATCTGAAAAGGAAAAGAACAGCAATATAATTTCTTAATAAAATGCAACATTAAATTTCTATCACCTAATTAATAAATGTTTCCTTGAGATTTTACATAAAAGGAACACAGTCTGAGTCATACACTGGGTGAAACTGTACCTGCAATCATGTTGTCAGCTCTGTCAATCCTCTTGAGCACTTGTTCAACGAGCCCCACTTCTGTGCACGCTTGTAGGTTGCGTATACTTTTCTTCAAGATTGCTGTAAACATGCTCCACACCTCAGCCTGGAGAGTGATGTCACATTTGTCCAGTAATTCTACCATGCAGGTGATGCCCTCTCCTTCTTGGATGATAAAGTTCATTTCCAAGTCAAAGGGGCCCCCAACAAGCTTTCAGACAAAAGATTTAAAAAAAAAAACCACCTTTAGATAATTGTGTCAGAGTACCATTCCATGTTTTAAGCTATTCAATCTGTAAGAAGAAAGTTATCAAAGACATAAGCTAAAAAAAACAAAACACAAAGCAAAACAAAAAAACACAAAAAAACATAATGATGCCGATATCAATATATCAAGTCTTATTCTTCCTCTGTTTCAAGTTCTGTTGGATAACTTCAACAAAGGTGCTCCTAAGGTGTCACCTAGTATCAGAAAATTGCTGCAGAAGAACATTTGGGTAGTTTAAGAGACAGATGTCCTGAGCTGCCTCGCACAGCTGGAAGGTGAAGAGACCAAGTGAGTGTTCTATAACAGGTGAGAGCCAAGTCAGCTAAGATATCTTCAATGGCCTGGGGCAGCCCTCAAAAGCTTTCCTTCACACATGCTTAATGCTCCTCAAATAAGAGGGCAACTCTAGCCAAAAGGAGCTGATGCACACCAGAAATATTACTGCTTACAAACACTTCAGAGTAACTCCTGAGATACTAAAAGAAGTTGGGTAGGTATTACCTTTCAGCTTCATTAGTAGCCAAAAGTACTAAAAGGAAGCAGAAGCTTACCATACTTGCATGAAATGTGAAACAGTAGCACTGTTGGAAGGCTTTGACTATGCTTTGACCAGGGCACTTAAATCCTGCAATATTTCAGGTCTCCTAGATGCAGGCTTTGTTTGAACATACGCTGAGTAACCACACATGCACACGCCAAAGAGGTGGAGGGGGAAAGGAAATAACTTACTTCATTCTCATTTGTGTACTCAACACAATAAAAACCCAAGTTAAGGAAAGATGGATTGTACTAACCTAACTCCTCTACCCCAGTTTCCCCCTCCACTTCTTAAACTTGTCCTGGACTTTAGAACTGTATTAAACTTAATGCTTGCCAAAAGACCCATTATACACCAGCATACAACTAGGAATTCAGACAGCATTGACTAAAATGATCAAAACAGACTCACGATCAAAAGCGTTTCAGCTCGTTCTCACTTCTACAAGTTTGTCTAATAAAAAGCTATTATTTCTGTCCTGCATGGTGCTCCTTTCACAGGCTTTGACTATTAACAGCTTCAGTACTGTCACTTGCTGAAGTCATACCATGTCAAAACTGCCCCAAATTGCATATACTAACTTGTGTCCATATTGGCTCCCACAGATGCTCTCAGCTAGCCAGGATCTGGAGATAAACTTACCCAACGGAACAGAATATACGCTCTTCATTAACTACTGAAATTACCATACATTTTCCTCAAGTGTCTAAATCTTGTCACTTTGAAGAAGCAATCTTTGGTCTTCTGGGCATAAATCAGTAATGTCAAACACCACAAGAAGCAGAGAAAGTTACTGCTTTTATGAAAGAATAGACAATGTCTCATGGCAACAATTTCTAAACAGTAATTTACACTTTTCCATTTTCTCCCCTCTTGGTCATGAAAAATAATTATGCAATTTACTATCAGATGCTTTCTTAATATCTAGGGAAACTGCAGGAACTGAATGGGAAGACTTGAATTATATTCCCAGCTTCTCTATATCAACTCACACTGTCAACTGAAACAAATCTATCAAGTCATTATCATCCTCCAAGTCTCAGTTTTCCCCTTCCATAAGATGAAGCAAAGGCCGACATCGAGAAAGCTCTGTACGGTAGAATTCAAGGGAGAACACTGAGCAAAATGGATTAACACAGAATTATAACAAAACAAATGCAAAGAAAAAAGTACACCTCCCTTAATAAAAAAAATAAACAAAATATTTTATAACTTAAAATACATAACCAATATTATACTTTATTTTACACTAAATTTATCCTCCTCTACAAAACTGAGGTATTCCTCAAGAAACTGCTCTCTTTCTCACCATCTAGGTAAGAAAGAAAGAAAATGCTGCATTCCATGTACAGGCAGAAGAGCTGAAGGTTAAATTCCAGCCACAAAACACCTGCTAATTCTTAACAAGAAATTCAACTCTTAATGCATTTGGTTTTAACTATCGGCCAACTATCAATTATCACACCAAAACCATATAGGGCAACTAGAGATGACCTTACCTTCACCCTATAGTCTACACTACCAATCTTTCATTTTTGGCTAGATACACTATTGTCAGTAACCACCCATCCAGGAAGCTGTCAAATTAGGTTTCCAATCTCATCTGCAAACATAAGCATTTCAGCAAGTACATCCTAGGAATAATATGCTACGGTAGAAATAATTACCATTTTAACACTTCTTTCCTTTAAGGGAAGCGAGGACAAAAAAACTGACAGAGAAAGCAATATACCAAAGGCACGGTGCAGGTGATGTACTATATGTATGCATACCCATTAGATACACACAAGCACACACACACACACACCCCCTCCCCCCCCAAGTATTTCACATTAACCCTTTCTAATGGTGATTTGGAACTGATCAACCTTCAAAACACAAATTTGTTTCCAATGACAGGGATCATAATCCAAGTCCATGCATTGGCTAGTTATTATCTGAGCTGCAGTAATGGCTGTGCACAGCAAAATGTAATCTTCCCAAATGTCACAGTAAGTTATGAATATCTGAGCAGCTTAATGCACCTTACTAGCCATGAAGTGTGAGAATGTAATCTTATTACCTTTTTTATGGTTGTATTTTTTTGAATAATGTAGCCTTTGAACTGATGTATAGTCTTTCCTTGCACTTTAGCATGATTTGGTCTCCTATGTCGCATAGTACATTTTTCAAAATTCTCCAATTCAACCTATTTTAAGCCCTATGCTGAGCTGCATAAACAATCTTTATAGCAACCTACTGGGTGGCATAACGTTTTCTTTCTTCGGCATGTGGAATTAAGTATAAGCTTAGAGGAATGGTTTCAAAGGTCAGCATTCAGAGTATTCAAATACATCCTCACAAATTTTACATTTTGCCAGTTATATTTACCTTCGAAAAACATATGTAAACTAAACCAATAGTTCAAGTTCTTCGGTAAAATGTTTCTACATTTAGCTGATGGAGAAAAGGGAGAACACTTTACAGCACACTCAAGAGTGATTTTTTTTTTTTTCCCCTTAGAGAACCAAACTAATGAGAAGTCAACACAAGAGCATTAATTTTAAGTATAGCATAGCACTACATCACTTCTAAACAGAAACAAAAAGCCAATTTAAACACACGAAACCTCTCTCTGCAACGAACCTTTCATCTAACATAAAATGGGAGAAGTGATCCAAGATATAAAAGAGATGGTGCACTCTTTGGGTGAGCAACTACCCAGCGACAGTATGCAGAAAATAGCTTGGAATAAACAGAGTCGAGCTCCTCTTTCCTGAAAAATCATTATCTAGATTATGAATCTAATTTAAAGTCATTTCTCCCAGTGGCAGATATAAAATATTTCAAAGGCTTGTAAGAAAATGTGAGGAAAAGTATTCCAATGAACTGTAACAGAAAAAAAGAAATCAAGTCCAAGACCACAACCAGCATTTCTCCTGGAAAAGCCAAATTGGCTATACTGGGAGAACTATACAACTGATCTCCACAGTTCTACCTCAAACCTCCAAAAAAGACTTCACTTCTACTGAGCTTCCTCATCCTTCTGGTCACTAAATAACCTACACATCAAGACAAACATACTTGTTTTGTTCCCTAAAGCCAGGATGAAAGAACTATTAAGCAAGTAAACCTTTTCCTCAAGATGTCAATTTTGCAATCTCAGAATTATTGCTTTAGTATGTCCAAAACAACGAGTATGGACAATGCCTATCCAATAGAAAACATCTATCCCATGAACAAAAATATGCAGTCAAATAGGCCAGCCTTATCTCAGGGAAAATTTAAAAAGTTTATGCATATTAAGAGCCCGCAAAGCTGCATGTACAAAGCTGATAACTGCCTGAAAGCTTCTATTCATAACAGTAAGGTACTTGAACAAGGTAAACATCAAGAAAAATGTGCTGGAGCTAAACCAGTTGCCATTTAAACAATTAAAGGTTTGATATATACCCTACATTTTACCTCTGCTCACAAAATACCTATGTTATCCAAAATAGTCCTGTTCTTAAATGCGATTTTACATCATGTCAGTCAACCTGATGTTAAAAACAAACAAACAAAAAAACTCCCATGTTTTTCATCCCTCGATGATGAAATCTGAATGCAGTTTCTGGAGAACACAAACACAAAAAAGATGGATTCATTTTAGTCATTATGCTTCTGAGTAACAATAAATATAATATTCCTTGCCTACATTTACTCTTATCTTCCACCAAAGTCATAAACCACATCCTGGACTCCATGCCCTTTCACATACTCAGAAACTCAAAACAAATGTGTTGATCATCAAAAATACATACCAAAGATTTGGTAAGTATAAGAACTAAAAATCTATTTAGGGCAAGGATCTCATAGGATCATGAGTAATTCCAAGCCAGTCAAACCCCCGAAGGCACACAATAAACAGTAAAAGTCAACATCCTGGATGTGATAAAAAGATGTTTCCGATTTGGAAAGGCCTCTACAGACCGGAAGAGGAAAAACGTGGGGAAAAAGAATAACTTGTACATACTCATTTGCAGCAATCCATCCTCTGTCCCTCACTACCCATTTTTCCACATAGTCCTTTCTCACCTCCAAGTGTTGTGTTGGTGATAGAGCATATTAAAATACAAGTCCTAAGAGGAGATTTGGTAGGAAAGCCCATTGGTAGTTTGGATAAGTATATCACATAGTGATATTAGCAGCAATGTCAAATCAGTGAAATCATAACAAACAGGGTTCAGGCCCAGAGAGGCAATATGGAGGCAAGAAAGGGAAAAAAAAAGTCTGGATGCATATTGCCACTATATCAACAATACTACTACTTCAAAAACTAGACAAAGCACAAAGAACTGTGAGAAGACCCACTCAGGAAAGGCAAGGTCATAATCTTCCAGCAAGATGCAAGCGATTTAACGTCAGTCACTACCTTAGC